GTTAAATTTTGTACGTAGGCAGTTCTAATCAAAACCATAATTATTTCTGTTGAACTTGTTTTTGCTCTGTTTAAGGTGAACTTAGATGCAAATGCATATTTGCATATATTTGCACTGATTTAACAAGACTGTGGGTTTGAAAATGTGAAGCTGGATGTGGGATTCAGGGCAAAAAGGAATCCTGTCAATGAGAGTGTGCCCCCCTGCTGTTGCCAGGGGTGGGTCACCTTAGTTTGTGGGTGTTATTGTTTAGCAGGTGCTTCTTCGTTTCACTGAACTGAAAGTTGTAGGGAAAGTCTTTATGGTTTAGTATATGGTTCTCATGTATTAAAAAATGTGCAAACTATTTTGTTTGCTTTAATAACCTCAGTGAGGGACATTGTTCTGAGGGTGTTCCTGTGAGCTTTCCTTCAGAGACATCAGGTATGGAGGTGGTGTGCCTTGTGTTTAACAAGGCAAACCCTCACAGGTGAGCTGAGGAAAGTGCTTTATCTCCTTTCCTACACTCAACTCAGGCAACTTTTAAAAGCTCTTCTGCTGAGACACTCTTTAAAAAAAAGTACAACTCCGTCAAGTTTGAATTTTATTCCAGGGCGCTTTTTTTGCCCTGGAATTGCTTAGGCGCTTTTTTTGCCAGTAGCAATCTGTGGAGATTTGTCAGAGCTCAAAACTGGCATTATTTTGGAGCCAGGTCCATCAGCTTTGATTAGAGGGGAGTGCACCACCCTGGTACCCGATTGCAGCATGCTTTGTTGAACCCAGCCAGGTGGGAGGCAAACACACTGCTGGTCTCCTGACCTCACTACCCTTTCAGGCTTAATTGTTGAGCAAAACTTCTCTCATTTACTGCTAAGAACCTGCAAACACTTGGAATGCAGTCCATATTTCTCAAACTGCAGTCTTCCCTTTACAGTGGCCGGTGAACTGTGTTCATAATTGCTGTGCTGTTGGATTGTGCAGTCTCTTCTGGGGGTTGGCCAGAGCTGGGTTGCTGAAGAGGCAGGTTTCATATAATACACCTTACATGAACCAAGGGTCTGGGTCAGGTGGAGTGGAGGGGCCAGAGAGCTCTGTAAAATCCAGAAGGAGGGGGATGAGGACAGAGGAAGTACATGGAATAAGCACAGCACAGTGGTTCTTCTGGTTCTGGGCTGATGCTCACTTGTGTTACTTACCTTGGTAACACATTTTACAGTTTATTTTTATCACAAAGGGTTGTTTGTGCAGAAGTTTGAACACATTAAAATTCTGTTCCTGTGGGTGCCTTGTCGCTGGATTAGCAGGTGTTTGTAAACAGCAGTGTCAATCTTCTGTTTCTGTTTTGATTTGAAAAAGTTACTCTTGTTTTCATCTTCGTAGCTGGAGATCAAATCCCATGGAAAGCTTGTCATATGCAAAATAAAAACTTTAATTGCTTCTCATGACTGTTATTTAATACATGCATCCAACTGAGATAGTTTCTGGTTTGGGATTACGCACAGCACAGCACAGTGGGCACAGCACTGATTCTGTACAATTCTTACATACTGGCTGTTCTCAGAGTGTGTGAGCACAATGGTTGTTCCTTACAGGAGGGTGTTTTATGTACTTTCGTGGTAGATACCACTCTGGTATTGGATGTATTTTATCAGAAAATAAATGCTGCTTTGGTGGTTGAATTTTCCTAAGGCTTACAGAAAAACCTCAGAGGTTTTACTTCTTTTTAAAGGAGTAAGGACAGTATTAGACTTCTGTAATAAGCAGCAGTTTATTTGTTGTTCAGAACTGATTTAACCGTTGGCTCCTGGATGTTTAACCACTGGCTACCTGGCTACTGCCAGGACCTAGATAAAGCTCTCTAGCAATAACGTGTTAAAGGCAGCGACTGATAACTTATTGGGCATAATTTAAGAGAGAAAAAGACACATAGTTTCATTCCGTTAGAGGGTGAATTGTTCAATGAGTGGCAGAAGCAGGGATTAATGATCAGGCTAGATCTTGAAGCATGTGCATTCTTAAAAATAGGCAACAAGAGACCTCATCCCTGAAATCAGGCTTGTGTTGTTTCAGGAGTGGATGTCAGCATGAATACACATCTCAAAGCAGTGAAAATGACGCTGAAGAACAGAGAACCCGTACAGCTGGAGACGCTGAGTATTCGAGGGAATAATATCCGCTACTTCATTCTGCCGGACAGTTTGCCTCTGGATACTTTGCTAGTGGATGTTGAACCAAAAGTCAAATCCAAGAAAAGAGAAGCAGGTTAGTTTGTGCTTTCCTGTGTTTGTTCTGACTTTGTATGCAGTTTAGTCCTCTGAATCTGAAGACATCTGATTTGAGTGTCTTGATGTCTGCATTTGGTGTCTAATTCCTTCCTCTTTGAGGGTTTGATACTGTACTGGCTTAATCTGCCTTTCCCACCTTCTTGATATCTGCAGAGCGTTCATTCACCCGAAATTATGTGTATGGCTTTTCATGCATCTGGTTTTAAAAATGTAAATGTTTTGCATCTTGAGTAAATCTTAACCTATCTCAGTCTCACAGTTGGCAACAGAGATTTGCACTTCTCCGAGTGTCTGCTGGGTTTCCCCAGTTTGTATGGGGAGCTTCACATAGACTAATAAGAAAGTACAGGACGGTCTCTCAAAAGTACTGAATGGTTCACTGAAATTTGGTGGTGGATAAAAATGGTATCTCTGAGAACTGGATTTGAGAGGCTTGAGAACCTGAAGGAGTCTAGGCTGTATATTCCAATGAGCAGATCTCTAACTTTGGTTCCCAGTAGTGTTCCACTCTGCTCTTCTGTAACTTTTTTCTCAAAAAACTGTTGAACAAAAACCTTTTCCTTAGAAGCCAAACGTTATAGAGAGCAATTCAGTTTTAATCCAGCAGTTAGTCTGTGTATTTTTAAAATAGTAAGCTGTGAGTGAAAGCTAATTGTGCTCTAAAGTAATGTTGTACCCTTTCTCCTGCAATTAGTGTGTAAGTGTTTGGATCTGCAGTGTGTTATGCATTAGTGTGCTCACCTTTCTGACATGGTGTGAGGAGCCCTTGGATGCATCACCAAGTGCAAGCGCTGTGGCTGTTGTCTCTGTAGAGAATACAGATAAAACTCCCAAGGGGATTTTGCTCCTCTCGGGTCCATTAAAAACAATCTGACCACATGGAGAAATGAGTGTGATTGGATTGCTTTTTTTCCTGAACCCCACAGTGTTTGGTTCTTTGAGGGAAGCAGCTGTGATAGCCCCAGTTTGATGCTCGCTGCATCCACAGTGTGCGGAAGCACTCCTACTGCAGCTGTGTTGTGCTGCCTTAACCCGTAAATGCTCTTCAGCTTCGAGAGCGTAAAGCCCATGGTCTGTCCTTGGCAAGTGGAATTGTCAGTGGAAGGCAGGATGTGCCTTGGGTCCAGGTGTGCTGGCGCTTAGCAAATGCAGCTCTCTACTGATGCACGTAGCTGCTGCCATCGTTTAGTCAGGTGTTGAGACTTCCATGGAAATTACAGAGTCGGTCTATTATCAGCAAAAAAATGACACCTTGCTTCTGTGAAATTTGCCTTGTGCCTCTGCTCTTTCTGTCTTTGCTGCATTTGTGACCTCAATGCCAGAATAATCCACGCCTGCTCCGTGAAGGGGTGTTAGTGTGTCTCTCTTACTGAGCCATCCATTTCTGCAGAGTTTTTAGCATCTTTGTGAGCCCTGCACTCACAAACATGTTCAAAATGAACCAGTTATTTCTTAAGTTTGTAGGGTGGCCTAGCAACTGGGTGGGTCAAGTCATGTTTCTTTAGGAGAAACGGGTGCAATGCCACGTTATCACTGTATGGATCACGTCACCTTCAGCAGTTGCAGCCCGAATTACCCTGTGCTTCTGTCTTCCCTTTACCATTAAATAGCAGTAATTAAAACTGGGGGCACACAACCAAGACCTTGGCCTCAGAGTCACGTTTGAAATTGGCAGAGGTATCACTGAAAATAGCTGTTTGGTGGTGGGATCCCTTCAAAATGCTGCCCTTCCACACGGTGCCTGAGAATGGTGAGCTTGGGAATCACACATGTTAAAACTCTCATTTCCCCTAAGCAGAGTATTTCATAAACCACAATGAGAGCTGTGGCCAAAAAAAAATCTTATCCTCTGTACTGTATAGTAACAAAATACTCGTCTTGCATACACTTTTTCTGATCCCTTCCGGAAAATGAGATGAAAACAAAAAAGAGGAGGAATTCTAGTTCCCTGTCAGACCTACCCTACCACTTGGGAGCAGCCAGCTGTTACATCCCCTTGTTTTCTGCAGTGAAGCCAAGGACAGAGAGTAGTCTGTGGAAGTTGTATACTGAAAAACCCAGTACTAAAGATGAAAATATTGCCTGAGACTTACTGAGCATTAAAAGACTTAATGTCTGACTTAAGGTCTCATCACATGGAAGCAGTGTGGTGGTTTATGCTTGATACAGAATGTTTTAATCAAAATGAAAGTATTCCTGGGTCTCACTTGATTTATCCTTTTTCTTTCACCTGCTAAGTTGCTGGAAGAGGCCGTGGCAGAGGCCGTGGCAGAGGCCGAGGTCGTGGAAGAGGAAGAGGAGGCCCAAGACGATAACTTCTCATCACGCAACTGTTACCAAATTATGGGCAATTTCAGATATTTTTTTGTACAGGTCTTGTTTATGGTATCCATTTTTAATAAACTGAAATGTGAAAAGGTCGTCTTTCCTTTGTTAGCAGAGCCTGGGGTGGGAGGTGTGTCCTGTTTCCAGGGGCTGTTACAGACTAAGCAGGTCTTGTTGGTGTTGGTTGTCACTGTCAAGATTTTGCCCACCCCTGAAGGCTGTACAATTGCCTCTTGCTTTTTGCCTCAGAATGAGAGACTTGCATTGTTGTGCTTTAACGATGTTTGAAATTAATCCTTTTGTAAGGCACTTCCATCTTCTAATGGTTACATAGTTAAGACACTGTATCAAGAACCCCTGTCCCATGAGTGTTTCTCAAATGTTCTTCAGAGCGACTTTTTTAAAGTTCATAGATATAATTTTAATGTTTTCTATTACATGAAGCTTACAATTTAAACATGTTGCTTTCTTTATAAAACATATACATGGGGAAATTAACCAGGTCAGTGGAACTGCTGGATTGTTACATCTGATGATTAAAGAATACCTGGATATGAACTTTGTCAAAGCTAATTATATGGCATACTTTTGTTTGGGTGGGGCTCATAAAGCAGCTTTATCACAGATACCTTCTAGTGTACTTAAAGTGCATCCCTAGAAAATACAAAGTACAGCATAGTGCACAGTTATGTACTGGAATTGGAAGCTTACTTCTCGGGGGGAAAGAACTTGTGCAACTCATATATGTGTTTGCATATATATATATAAACTGCTTTGCTGAACACCAGTATAAAAGAAGCCAGGTGGGCCACATTCATCTCCCAATACCATGCTACTGATTTCTCCCATGTAGGAAAGGGATCATCACATTCTCACTGGCAGACTTCAACATTTTCCTCTGTTGATGAAATACAGATGTCATTTGAAATAAAGTGCACTCTTAAGTGCAGCTGTCTTGAATGGGTAAAGGATATTTGCCGGTACTTTGGTGCAGGAACATGCTTAGTTGGTTGCTCATGTTTCCGCACAGGCACTGCTACAACAAAGTGGAAAAGAATTACCTAACATGGTGTAATGGGCTGATGTGCTGGTTAATTTGTGCTAACTAGCATTTTGTGAGCTGCTCTTCTGGTTTCCCCCTCTCATACATAGGCTATTTTAAAGCTTCATCTTGTTACAGAAGAGCTTTTTTTTCCCCAAACCATTGTGGAACCTCCCAAGAGCACTTTTTGGTCAATATAGCACCCACCATTCTCAACTCTATAAATAGCTGCTACAAATAATGGTTGCTGCTGTCTTCCAGAAGTGCCCTGTCACTGATGACGGGGGTAAGGTCTTCCCAAATCCAGCTGTCAGCATTCATGCAACTGTTGAAACTCTTTCCCTCTTCAGTCTCTTCCTTATAAAAGTCATTAGTGCCCCCAGGGGGATGCACATGGTGGATGCTGCCACCAGCAGCCCAATCACTGCGAGGGCGTAGCCTGGGTAATCCTTTGTCACCAGCTGCCCCTGCAAGGGAGAGAAGCAGTGTTGGATCTGTGGGATCTGTGGGTTTGAGAGTCCAGGAGTTGGGTCAGGAGCAAAGCTGTGCACATGGATCTAAGTGGGACTTCTGAGAAGCACTTTCTGGCTGTGCCAGCCCGCGACTGCCCTCAGCGCTGTTCTTTGCCCAACCACCCTGAAAACTGACAACAAGAACAGAGCTGCTGACAACAGGAGTGGGGGAAATTTCTGCAAGCTTTGGTAAAGAGCGGATTTTGGCTTGATTTGTGTCTCTTAATGAGGTGGCTGGGCCCTGACCTCTGTCAGGCCTCCGTGTTCCTCTCCTGGAGGCTGTGGGCTCATGCTGACACCCAGTCAACAGACCAGGCCCGCCATGGGTCCTAAATTGTTTTTGTGTCATGGCCAATTACGTATTTTCTTTCTGCACAATGGGAACATTTCCACAAAAGGTTATGGAAGCGGTGATTACTTATCCAGTAGTAATTTGTGATAAATACACAGTTCGGTATTCGTACAAAAGTGTTCTTGGCCATGAAGAAAAATGGATATGGAAATTATGAAAACCATTCCAGCAGCAGTTCGGTTCTTTTAAAATACCACTAATTTTGTTCAAAATAATACACTTTGAAAGTAGGGTTTTTTGTTTAAAGTGTTTTTTGAAAGATGATATTTGGGTCATCAGCATTAATAATGTTTTACTGTATGAAGGAGTCAATTAAGAATCAGAGGGATGTTAGTTGATTTTACAGAATCATGGCATCATCATTAGGTCAAGTTTTCCTTGGTTTTCCTTTCCACAAATTTAGGGGTTGGCCCTCACTCTAGCTGCAAGCTTTCCAGTTTTGTGGAATGGTTTAGTTAGGAAGGAAGGCTGTATCCTTGCAGGAACTAGGGAAAGTTTAAAAAAAAAAAACAAAAGCCCCCCAAAACTATTTTACCTGTGTGGCATCCCACGCTTGGTATTGAAAGGTTCCTGTGAGGATATAGTCGGTGAGGTAAAATATAAATAGGCTTATAATTAGCAGAGGACTAACAAAGGCCCACATAATTTTCCAATACCAGTTTGGCTTGCGTCCAATCATGGTGTAAAGATCTTTCTCAAATCTGTGTTGAAAAAAAAAGCATATTTTTGAGAACAGCTGCATATGTTCAATCGATACCTTTTTCTGAGTTACTTCAAAACCACCTGCAGAATTCCATGTCAGATGAGAAAGGGGAGTACAGTTCACCACAAATGAGGTATTGTCTGAAGAACTGGCTCACCAGACTCATCATGAGGGTGAAATCAAAACAGACAGTGGGACTTCCAAGAGAACCCCAAACTGCAGAGAATAGCTAGAAATAGGTACAGCAAGAAAAGTTCTGGCTTGAATATAAGTTCAGGGTGTTTCTGATGTCAGTTAAGAGAGAAAAGCAATGATGCTCAAGTATTATGGAGAGAAAACTGCTGGTTTTTGTGTAGTTGAGTTGTTCTGACTGCTGTCTTTGAGGAAGTACCTAAAGTGTACCTAAAATCTCACAGGAGACCTGGATCTGACTGGAAGGCTTTGAACTCATCAAGGACGTAATACCCTTGTAGGTGCCTGTACATGTACTGTGCTGGCAGACTAACAAAGAAAATGCTGAAGCCTTTTCCTTTAGATGCCATGAGCACAAACACCTCTGCTGTTCAAAACCTCTCCTGATGCCAAAGCTTCCTTTTGCCCACAAGGGATGACTTGGGACACCAGCAATCTGTGAGGTGACCACCTTGGAAACCAAACTTACTGGCACTGTTGTGCTCATGCTGAACTACTGTCACAGGAGGAGCAGAGTTTTGGCAGAAGGTGCTCTTGAGACCAAAGACCAGAGCAGGGAGCAGGTGTGTACAGCTCATTAGCACTCGCCTGCCAGCAGAGGTGGTGTCAGCCCAGCCTGGCCTCTGTACAGCCCTGAACCAAGGCCCTGGAAGGGGTCTGCAGGGCAGGGGAGACCCCCATCGCCTTGCTGGTACTATAGCATAGGAGAAACATACAGCCTAGGGCAGTATTTTTATTCTTAGCCCTGCATGTCCTGGCTCTTGGTCACTCCCCCTGCTATCCCACTGTAAAGAAAGAAGGATTCAAGCTTTTACCTTCTTATCCCATAGATGTAACACACAGCGATGGTTTCGACCAGCACAATGAGCAGCAGAGAGAGGGTGGCTGCATAGTCATTGAATATGTCAAACCAGTAATTTCCAGCCTCCATGGTGAAGATCAGGCCAATCACACAGTTAATGAAACACACAACACCTGCATGGATAAAAGAGAGACCCTGCCATTACACTTGGAAGTCTAATTGTGTGTGGGAAATGTCATACTCCTTGTGACTAAAAAACTCGTAGAATTTCTGCTGAGCAGCTTTCTCTGAGGAAAAGGATAATTCCTTTTCCCTTACGGAAAATATCTGTCTCTTTGCATGAGTGACTGTGCTGGTGTGTCCTTAAACTGCTCCTCAGACCTGCATAGTCACAGGACATCACTCCAGAAACGGTCAAGACAACGAAGTCTTGGCTATAGCCTTGTCACATGTGCATGCAGTATCTGGTGTTGCCACTGGGCATCCTGCTAAAACAGGTTTTAAGATGGGACAACTGATTTCCATGCCTGAACAGGAGCACATATTACTTTTGGCCAAAGACAGGTGTTTTGCAGTTGGGATACTGGTGATGTGACTAAAGAGCTGCTCACTGCAAGTATCTTTACACCTATACTGTCTCTGAGTTTCATCAGTCAGTAGACACCAGTATGAAGGAGCTGGGGTGTGTTGGGAAGCCTGTAAATACACAGCCACAATTGTGCTAGTGCTTTGGGAGCTCCGGAGGGGAAGTGCTTTGAAGGCAGGGCAGGATTTCACAAAGGCAGGCAAACCTTTCCAGCAGCATATTTACTATTCCCTGCTCCACTCAAGGTCAGAGGGGGACCCTCAGTGGCAGTGGGACATCAAAGCCTTTGCACACACACACTGTGCAGCCTACACTGTGACACGGCAGGCGCTTACCTGAGATCACCTCCTTGGGGAAGCGGAGGCGCTTACCTGAGATCACCTCCTTGGGGAAGTGGAGGCGCTTACCTGAGATCACCTCCTTGGGGAAGCGGGCGCCAATGACTCTGCTGTCGGTCAGCGGCGTGAGGATGGCGGCCGTGTTCCCCAGCATGCTGCCAATGCCCAGCATCAGCAGCATGAAGAAGTAGAGCACAGAGTACAGCTGGGGCACCTCCATGTTTTTGATCGCTTCAGAATAGACGATAAATGCCAGTCCTGTCCCCTGGACAGCCTGTCAGAGAGAAGGGGAGAAAAATGAGTTACGGGCAGCTCCTTATCCTTGATAAAGGACATAAGATGGACATAAGAGAATGACTCTGTGTCGTGACAAGGTACATGTGCAGTGGTGGCTGTGCACAGCAAAAGCAGATGAGATTCTCGCCAGTTTATCCAAACTGCACGGACACTGGCGTAATGCCACTTGTAGCAAAAAAAACATTTACCCCAAATCTTTGTGACCTGCCCTGTTCCACAGCCAGAGCCAGCAGTCAGACTGCACTGCCACCCAGCTCAGCTGCTAACCACCCAGGCAAGCCCCTTGCCCCATCCTGAGGAGTAGAAATGATCCCCAGCCCTGGTCAGGCATGTGGATGTGCTCGCATGGGGCTGCCCAGGCTCACTGGGAGGAGAGGAGACAGCACAAAGTGGCAACTCACCGTGTCTAGCTCAGCTTCTAAGCTGCAGTTTTTAATCTGAGGCGCTAATTGGGCATATTCCTGTGGGTAGGTGGCCATGAGGTAGTCTTTCTTCTCACTGAGGTTGTCTGCTGTCAAAGAGCCTTCCTCCAGGTCAAAAGTGTTCAGCAGTAGCAGGATCACCCTGGGAAGGATTGCAGGCATTTAATGGCTTTCAGGCCCAGAACACCTCATTCCCTTCTCCATCAGTGCCCAGGACATCTCATCCCCTTCTCCATCGGTCCCCACATGTGGATGTCCTGCTGGCCCCAGGGATCCAGTCTCCCCATGTGAGAGCCATGGCACTTCCAGAAAGGGATATGAGCGATCTTGCACTTATCTGTGCTTTGTAGGGAGAAGCTCCTGCACCCACACTGTGCTTCCAGGCAGGTATTTTGGGTGCCAGCCAGCGCTGGCTGGTGTCTCTTCCCCTTTGCCCTCCAATCTCACATCCACACCCCATCAACTTAATGAGCCTTTTGGCAACGAGCAGGGACTAGCAGCTTGGTTTCCTCTCTGATCAGCAGATAGATTGAAAGCTCTAAAAATATGAGTAAAAGTGTAACTGCTGCAGGCCCTGTGCCAGGGACTTCATGCAAGCTTGCTGCCTCAGGACACAATCCTGCAGGCTCCTAGGCACCTCCAGAGCATCACAGCCGAGGAAGCTGAGCTCCTGGAACAGGGTTTAGCCTTAATAGTGGGGTGTCTGAGCATTGCTGCATTTTATTAATCAGTCCCCCCCACTCCCTGTAACATGTGCCAGGACGAGGACACAGGGGACAGTGCCTCTGTGACTTGCCCAGGCAAACATCCTCTCGACAAGGCCCGTGCCTGGAAGCAGCACCCAGGTGTCAAGAGGCAAGTCACTCTGACCTTTCATCTCGGGCTTCATCGCTTTAAATAGCTCCATTAGCTTTATTAGAGCAGTATCGGGTCTGGTCTTGGGGCAGTGCTGGCAGCACTGCATGCTGTTATTTATTTACCTCCCCTCTCACCTGCCCCAGAACGGCTTGCAGTGGGAAACGAGTGGAACACCAGGCTCTTACTTGTTTATACAGCTCTCATAGTTAAACGTCGCCTTGAAGCCGTAGATGGAGAAGGTCACAATGCTGGCAAAGATGGAGGTGGTGCTGTTGATGAGCGAGACAATGATGGCATGTCTCTCGCAGTTGTTGCTGGGCTCGTTGTAGCTGGCAAAGGCAATGAGGCTGCCGAAGCCAAGGCCCAGCGAGAAGAAGATCTGCGTGGCAGCGCTGATCCACGCCTTGGGGTTCGACAGCTGCTCCAGCTGCAAAGCCAGACCCAGAGAGCGAGAGCATAAAGCTACATATGGATTCCCAGCAATGCCCCTTCCAGGCTGCCTGGGTGGGGACAGGGATGGGTCCCTTTGTGCACTCGTTTTAGTTCAGGGGTTTTTTTAGGCAGGGTTACTTATATGACTGAAAATAATGTGCTATAGGCTATGGTAATGGGCAGGTCTTTTTCTGCAGGAGAAAGCAAGCAGCTTATGGGCACCATGGCAGAGCAGCTGCCACTCCACTCCCACTCCTGGAAATCGCCAGGGTTTCCAGCTGCCTGACCTACGCTACTGCTGCAGAAATTCAATATAAGGAAAAGCATCAACAGCTTTTAAAAACCTACACGTTCAGTAACTAATAACATTTCATGAAAAATTCAATAGAGTTTTTCTGTACCTTTGGTGTGAACATGTAGAAAAGACCGTTCACAGCTCCATGAAGTGTTAATCCTCTGATGAGGTATATGATGAGAACACAGTATGGCAAAGAGGCTGTCACATAGACGACCTGAGGAAGGAGGGGAAACATCTTGGTCTAAAGAATATATAAGACAAAGCTAATCCACTATGGTCAGTCTTATTTACTTTACATAAATAATTTCAATTATTGTGTTTGTTCTTGTGTAATAATCCTTAAAGAAATATTTTCAGACAAATCTAACTTTAGATTTACATTTTAAGGAAGCAAGTTTTTATTAAAAATGAAGACCTGTGCTACTGTTCCCAGGGTCTTCTCTTTGACTGGAAATCAAAGAAAAGTCTAAAATATTTGCAGCATTCACAAACTCAGTTCTGCATCATTTAGTGGAGTAACACCAGTGTGCAACTGTCTATTAAGAACTCATTAGGCAAAGGTCATTCATCATTTGCTCTAGGAGGAAGGCAAGCAGACCTCATAGAAGGTCAAAATCAAACTTGAATTGAATCAAATTGAATCAAAGTTGAATTGAATTAGTTGCAACAAGTTTAAGAGGTTATTCTTAGTTTATAGTCTCTTGGCTTTCTGTGTTCAGCTAAGACGATTTGGGGATTACAGCCCTCAGCTTGCTGCTTAGTGCAGGCTCAGCCAGGACATTGGGGTTTTTCTCCCCACTTCCTCATAACTTGTGCTGTGAATAAAAGGCGAGCAAATCATGCCCGGTAGATGTCTTTTTTTTCTTGCGAAGACCAAGGAATAGACGTCTCCTGACATGGCTCTGCTGTGGCAGACAGCTTTCCTCACGGCCAGCAGCCTGACCATGGTTTTGCTGCATTTACAGGACTTTTCTGGATTATTTTTTTAGTATCACTCAGTGTTTTGGTTGATCCTGCTCGAATTGCAACTTGACAGGGCAGTAGAGGCAGCAGAGCTCGGTGCTCTGCAGCCACGGCCACTGCTTTGGGCACTCTTTTGCCCTCCCCACATCCTGCCCAGGCTCGGCAGAGCTGTGCCCCTCTCTCACCTTGCCAGTGGAGGCGGTGCCACGGAGGATGCAGAGATAAACCACCAGCCAGGCCAGTGTCAGGCAGAGCGCCTGCTCCCACTGCACGCTCCCGCTGGCCTCCAGCGATGGAGAGATGTTCAGGGTCTGCCGGTACCAGAAGTACTGGGTGGATGACGTCCTCTCACACTCCTCCTCATAGCCGGTGCGGTTGCTGTTGAGGGGGCAGGTAGCCCATGGCAGGGGGTCCTAGGAGAGAGGGGCATGGAGTCAGCATGGCAGGGAGAGCTGAGGTGCTGGTGAGGCATGGGGAGGATGATGGCGAGGGTGCCTTTCTGCCTGGGGCTTGCATATCTCTGCACAGTGCTGCCTGGGGCGCAGGAGGACCCTCTCCCCTAGGGATGATGTCTTCTGACACTTTCCCCTGGGAATGACCTGCTCCCCAAGGACTGATTTGTTCTGATCCTCTCCTGTGGGGATGACCCTTTCTGACCCTCTCCCCAGGGTCTCTCCCCTCTCTCTCCCCTCTCCCCTGCTCTGTCTCTTCTCTGGGAATGACCAGACTGATTTTCTTCCTGAGGATTGACCCTCTTTAACCCTCTCCCCCAGCGATGACACTCGCCACTCCTCTCCCCCATGGCCAATCCTCTCACATTCCATCAGACAGACCCATCCAAGGATGTAGGACACCCTGGCCATCAATGCATCACACGTTTGACCTGTGATTGACAGCAAGAAGACAACATCCAACACCCCTGGGAGAGCAGACAGAGGAGGACACCACTGCCTCATTCTTCTCTCCAGAAAAGCCCTGGGTGGGTTTATGGAGCTTTTGCCACTGATCCACCTCCGCTCTACAGCTGACAATGGTGCCATGCAACATCCAGCATCAATGCCAAGCCACCATGACCCTCCATGGCCACAGTGGGGCCAAACTGAGCTGTTGAGTGCCCACACACCTGGAAGGAGTGGAAAAGGTACCAGAAGGCCCAGGCGTTTATCACGTTGTAGTACATGGAGAGGAAGAAGGAGACAACAACACTGGCAACACCTGCAGGTATGGAGGGAGACACTTGGTCAGCAGCAAAACCCCAAAATGCCCAGGGTCTCATAACACCTGGGGGGTGTGGGGTGGGGGCAGCATCACCATGCCCAACGCAGGAGGGCTTTGACCCTGCACAGCTGTGTGCACAGGGCAAATCCCTGGCACTGCATCCACCTCCTCCTCCTGCCAGGACTATCCTGCACTGGATTTTATACTTTAGGCCCTGGGGGTGAATAGTCAAAGTATCATTAAAAATATATTGTGTGTGTATGCAAATTAACAATAGCTTGGGTTATCAGGGTAATTTAATAACATAATAATGTAGCTAAGAAAGGACACTGGTAAATTGCAGACAGCAACAGCAATGGTAGGAAATTAAGGCACTGTTTTATCATTCATATTGAGGTCATTGGGAAGTTGCTCTTGGGGTCAAAGCCCAGTGCAGGCAGCCCCAGGGGATGGGTTTAGCACTGGCATTCACACTGTGATTTTGGCAGGGTGCCTGAGGGCAGGGGGACTTACACCTCTGAATGCAGTGAGTTGGGGTCTAGTCCCAATGCCCTGCAAGGGATGGGATAAATGCATGCCACGAGGTGTCTGCTTTGCTCAGCCTGCTGAGGCCCAGTAGAACCCCAGCTCCCTCCTGGTTTCTCCTCTGAAAGACAAAGCTCTCCATTCAAAAATCACCCATGTTCTCTCCATGCTGGAAAATGAAGATGAAAACTGAGAACATACCAACACCACAAAGGTAGGGGCTTATCATTTTCCAGGCGCCGATGCTGCCCTGACGCATACGCTGCCCCACAGCCAGCTCCAAGTAGAGCAGGGGCATCCCCTCGGCAATCAGCATGATAAGGTATGGGATCAAAAAGCCACCTGCAAAAAAAACCCCAGAAGTCAGCCTTCAGCAGATCAGCAGCAAGATAAACACCACGTTGCCCTATTTGTGGTCAAATCATGCTGTCGGTGTCCGAGGGGCTGGCTGGGTCTGGGTCCTGTCCAGGCACCTTGTGTATTGAGGGCATGGCCCAACCCTGAAGGAGATGTCACAGGGTTTCAGGCGGTGTTGCATAGGCTGGTGGGTGCTGACTGCCCGGGCACAGGGAATTTTCCGCAGGAACTTGGCAGAGCTGGGATTTCTGCTGTTAAACTGTGTTGGTCACCACTCCGGTGTGGCAGGGCTACCCAGATGCATCACCGGCGGTTTGAGCAAAGTTGGGGGCTGGGGCTGTTAAAGGGTAACCAAACACCAGCCAAACCTTGTAAACTATAATGAGAGAAAGAGGACAAGGAAAAGATTTACTTCATGTGGGGTATTTTGCGGCACAGCCAAAGTGCTCAAAGTAAAAGTAACAGCAATGTCCATGTTGAATGGAGAGTTTTGAGTTACATACTGAGGTCTGGCCTGGCTTAAAAAAACACAAACAAACAAACAAAAAAGCAAACCAAAAAGCTCCCAAAACCCCATGCTGATCCCACAAGCACCAGGAAAGGGATGAAGGCTTTTCCCCCAGGGTCCCACCTGCAGGAACAGACTCTGGTATGGGAGGCACAGGCTCCCCTGCGTGGGGCTGCTCATCCCTACTTCTTCCCCACACGGAGAGCCACAGGGATGCTCCTGTGGAAGAGGAGAAGCAGCAGGAACGGGTTGACAATGAAGGAGGGGAAAGGACCTTCCCACTTGGCAACCAGGATGTGCTTTGGCTTAAATTTCTGCCAAAAAAAAAGAAAATCCTTGTACTCAACTTGGGGCTCACAGGCCCGCTTCAGAAAGAGCTGCTGACTGAGTCAAAAGCTGTATTTTTGCAAAGGCTTCCCTGCTTCCCTTTTTACAGCAAGCCAAAATATTTACGTAAATATCTCTTATTCAGTATTTAATCTGTGGCATTAACATTCCTTGCAATGGGCTCTGTGCAGTGCTGTGGAGGAATGAACTCTGGGCAGCGACTGAGGAAAAGAACTGGAAATAAACACGGAGCAATAATCCGGTTTATTCTGGGAATTAATTTCCCACCTCCCAGCTCTCTTGTTATTAACAACCCCTTTGTTAGCCTGTTAGATAACTTCCTATGCCACAAGGGAGCTGCTGGAGGTTTAAGAGCTCCCACAGCTGCTCTGTGCCGGCAGGGTGTGAGCTGCCCCAGCAGCCACTGAGGAGAGTTTTGCCATGTACCACCAGAGGGAATCAGCATTAGACTCTCTGTGAAGGCTTTTCTGCTCTCCCAGCAGTGCTTCCACATGCTTGGCATTGACTTAACCACCTTGCAAGCAGCAGGAATGTCTTCAGGCTTGCTCTTCACCCCCATGTCCCCCTGCAGCTGGGGGTGCCAGGGCTAAGCCCCCTGCCCCTTGCTCTGCACCCTGTTTGCATGCAGATCTTGCTCCCAACCCTACTTCCCTAAAGGGTAGAACCACATTGCCTCATACAAGTGACTCAGTGCAGCTGTATGAACCAACTCCTTATTTGCTGTGACTCAGCACAGCAAAAACCAGACCCCAGGCCAGATCCCTGCAGTTGGCAAAACATGGAATGTGCCCTGGGCCTGCTCAAGGCACTGGACTTGTCCAGCAGCACCCTCGCCTCTGCTCAGTGTCCTGCTGTAGACCCATCCCAGTCTCGTGTCAGCCTGGCCCAGCCCGCTTAGGGACAGAATAACTGCACCTGTGAGGTTTAACCCCCCCCCTTGCTCTGCTCAGGCCAAGCTCTCTGGAGAAGAGCAAGGAGAAGGAGGCAATCTGCTGATGAACAGAAAGGCAGGTTATAAAGCAATATAATTTGCAAATACTGCAAATTATCAGTATCATACGCAATAAGGGCTCTATTGTTCTGCTGGGCAGGACAGGAACTGGCTCTGTGCTCTTCTAAAAGGAAGATGCCAAACAAGCTGACGTCCCCCCTTATCCAGCTTTTAAGTTCCTGAAACCACGTTCTGTCTGCGTTATTTTTGTGGACCCCTGGAAAGCCACAGAATCCTCATTAAGAAGGCAGTGAAAAGAAGAATTAAGAAAAGCAAAACCTCCTGTCAGGAGTTTCAGCTTCACAGTAGAGAAAGAGCTGCCCTTCCCTATGTAAATTTAACTGGGGAAGAGAAAATAATGGAGAGTATAATGGAAAATAATGGAAAAATATTCCTATAAAAACATGCTTTTCGAAAAATACTTGGGTTTATCATAGAATCATACAATAGTTTGAGCTGGAAGGGACCTTCTAAACGTCATCTAGTCCAATGCCCTGCAACAAACAGGAAAGTTTATTTAATCTTATTTCAAGTTAATCAAGTGTTCCAGTTTTGGTTACATTTCAGAGAATTTTTACTATCCACTGCAATACAGATGGCTGGTCAAAAGAACCACACAAATCCCCCAAAATGTCCAAGTTTTGCTGTCCTTCAGGATGTCTGCCAAGATAGGCTGCTAGCAAAGTAATCACATGCAGTTCAATTGCATACAGAAACACTCACATTTTAAGCTTTGCGCTAGAGTTCAGTGTCAGGCATGAAGTCTTTACCCTTAAAGCACGGGTGGGGGAATACATGCAGAATTACAACACACCTATCATTCCTGCTATCTAAACCACCTAACAAAGCTTCAGCCACTGCAGCATCTATTTTCTACTGAACTTCACCTATTGTATTATTTGGATTTTTCTGACCTGATCCCAGGGAACAGCTCTGACACAGTCTCAGCACTGTGGTTTTTCGAAAACCAGCATGAACCAACCCTTACTGCCACACATGCATTTAGAAGTAAGCTACAAGCCAACAAAACAAGCATAAAAGAAGTAAAAAGCCCTCAAATATCTCCATATGTTTCTTCCTGAAAGGAAAAAAAAAGATGGAAGCAGACCAAAGGCAGATGAGGCAGATGCTCATGTCCCTTGCAGATGTCCCTTACTGCAAGGCTGAGGAGAGTCCAACACTATGATAACAGATGCAGTGAGAACAATATAAAACTTGGATGTCTTATAAAGAGAGGCTCTTTATAAGGATTTTTCAAAACAGTGGTAGCTGTATATTAGAGGAGATTATTAGTGTTGGTCTTTAATTAATCTAATTAACTAACTTGATTCCTAAGGAAGAACATCTATGGCTGGTATATGATACAGACATCATCTTTGTTCTGTTTGGACCCAGGAGAAGGATAAACTTTCAAAGAGCTTTTTTTTTTTTTTGGAGCCCAAATCAATGTATTCTCTATTTTCAAAGGTGCCTGGGAGGCTTTAGCTGTGGAACTCCTGTTGATTAAGGTGTTTCAGGCAACTTCAAGGCAGATTTCCAGCCAAGTTATCACCTCCTAAAGTTAGGCTTTGTATAAAAGACAAAACATTAATGACAGAAACTTGAAATGATGCATCTGATCCTTAAATTAAATCAGCATAAGCCTCTCCCCTTCTCAGTATGTTCCAAGTCCACATATGTGAACATACAAAGAACTGAACTAGTTTCTGATGACTTCAGAAAGGTTCGATGGGGCAAAAAAGTAATAGATTAATACCATGTGGACACGTATCTCTCACTCTATCTCCACCCTTTTAGAAAACATGGGCCTTCCCACTGCTTCATTGCACTTCTAGGAAACAAGTGCCACTGTATTGGGGCAGCTGTCATGTAAAAGCCTAATGCTAAAGAATACATAAAATAAAGCGCAATAAGACAGGTTGCCACCAACAGAAAGCCAGACGTCCTACTCTGCCCCGGACCCTGCTGGGTTAACAGGGCATTAGCATGGACAACATACTTTTGGACTTAAAGCTTGCCACACTCTTCCTCGAGGGAAGCAAGAAACATGAACCACACTTACCTCCTCCATACATCTGACATAAGTAGGGAAATCTCCATACATTTCCCAGTCCCACGGCATAGGAAATGCACGCAAAAACAAACTGCAGGGGATTGTCCCATAGCGGCCGGGATTTCTCCATTGCCTGCTTGTAGGCAGAGGTTTCAGCAGAGCCTTCCTGCCTTCACTCCCTCAGGTACTCTGCCAACCCTGCCTCACACTCCACGCCAGTCCGGCTTGGAGGGGAGGGAGAGGCGGAGGAGCTATGCTTGCCAATTCCTATCAAGCTTTTTAATTACTAATCTTATTAACAGGCACATACTGAAGTAGGAATGCTGGTAAATAGATTATAGACACACACAGAACTATAAAATTGGTACTTTGGGTAAATAGCTGCTTGGGTTTTGACTGGCACTTCTGGGAAGGATGTGAGCCGGGGGATTTTTATCAACCCACATGCCAACTTGACACTGTGAGAAAATAACACTGGGGCTGCAGTCTGGTTTTGGAAATGGGACACTCCTTCTCCACAGGGCTCCCTTCCCTATGAGCGCCATTCATGTGCATGAGGTACCAGTTTGAATTCGATAGCACAGAGAAGGGATTCCCACACCATTAGGACTGGCTTTAGTGACTGTCAGAGCTGACTTCTAGGGCAAGGGATGCCAGGAATAAACGGGTCCTCAGACACCCCATCACTTGTGATCCAGTGCTCACTCCAACCAGTCCAGCACACTTCCCAGTTCCAAAGGTTGCCTTGAAACAGTCCCTATAAGCCACACAAGTCCCCAACACGCCGCACACTTGAGTACAACACTCAAGTTTGACCCTCCAGCACTACTACCCTCCCTCTACATATTCTGCATGTGTGTGACAGTGTGAAATAGCCCAGTCTCTTTTCACTTACCTTCATGCTCAAACCCCACTGCTGCAGATGAACTTTTCTGAAGAGTTGCTGTTTTAAAATACTTTCAAGCAGCAGGGACCAAATATATACAAAGGTCACTGGGAAAAAGTGTCTGTGGCCCACTGTGGAGGCAGAAGGGTCTACGAGGCCTTTGGGTCGTCTGAAGGCACAGTTGGGTGCGAGGTCTGAACATGAACCCTGTTGTATTTGGGCCCCTGCCAAGGTACTCATTGAACTCAATCAATTCAGACAGGTCTCCTAGTGAAGGAGGCTGCCAGCAGCATCTGTAGCAATAAAAAGGGGCTGAACAACTCCAAGGACTCAGCTTCCTTCCTCTGTTTAAACGTGTTTTTTCCATAGTACCTTTCAGGACCATTTTACGAGTAAGACTCACTCAACTGCTGGCAGTCTCGTTCCTCCGGCACCAGCAATTTGCTCCCTGCCAGCGCTGTGTGTGCTGCTCCAGCACCCCATCAGGCACCGGATGAGCCAAGTGCCAGCTGTAAGTACAGGTGAGAACCCCCACCATGGGGCCTTTGGACATGAGCCCAAAGCGCAGAGTGTGTTGTGCAGTGCTGTCGAGCCCAGCAGAACCACTCTGGTGGACGTGCTGACCAGCCACCTGCAGTAGCAAAGTCACAAATTGGGACATCGCTTTTCTGACTGCTAGAAAAGGTGACTGCAAGAGGTTTACGCACCTCCTGTAAGTGAATTCATTCTTCGTGGTGTGTCTTAGTGGTGCTACAAATGAAGGTTGTCACTGGAAAACATCAGGGTTTGCCAGAGCCTTCCAGACTACAGTTCTGAGGGTGCTCATGGCATCTCTGGAATACCCTTGCGGTTTTTGTCTTGCCCACAGAATTGCAACATGCCAGCTAGCCACGGAAATATGTCTCATGGGTATACCCCTGAATTCTGCTGGAAGAAAAAATCCAAGATAATTTTAGATCCATAAGCTATTAAAACCAAAAGACACACACTGAGAAGCTACAGATACATTAGTTGTCTCAAATAATGAAAACTTTGCAAATTATTAAGAAGTTAAATGCCTGCCACTGCCAGTGGGATTTATTATAAATGATGCTTATAAATAGCTTACAGCATTAAATAATTTTCTGACAGGACAGCATTAAAAAATAGCACATCTCTAGCACTTGGGATGCTTCTGTGTGAACGGATTACTCCTATTGATGAGAATCATCAGGTTAAAGATTTACCTTGGCTCTGGACCTCCTTCCCATTACATTTCAAACTAGTTTACTAATGGACTGGAGGAGATCGTGCAGGCAGAGAGGTGTGGTGTCCTCATCTCGGGTCAGGCCAGATCAGGAAGTTCAGATGGAAAGAGATGAATCCTTGTGTCTCTCACAAATGTCAGTCTCATTGGCAGATCAGAAACTACTATGAGTTTTTTTAAAGGTGGTCATGCACATAGGCACCCAGCAGAGTGCCTGTCATCTACTGGCTCCTTGAAGGATAGGCTTTAAAGGTATTTACACAGTCAACACTAAGGAATTCTTGCTGTAGGATTTTCCATGCACACCTCAGATAATCAATATGCTATTTCTCATACTCTTCAAGATTTTATCTCCTTTGAAATTCCTTCATTTGGGTTGGGGAGGGACTTGGGCTTTATCTTCAGGGACAAAGATAAGCCTCTAACAGACATACGGAAGAACTTTTAAACATTTCACTGCTCATGTTAAAGGAGTATTAGAAACATTTTTGCCCCCCCAGTACCTAACAAATTTAAAATGTGGGGTTTGAGGGAGTGGTTGAGGAGAAGGGCAGGGGTTCATCTCCACAGGGACTGATGGGACTGCCCATGAGAACTCCTCTATGTAAACCTAGTCAGAAGCTAATAAACAAACCAGAGAATTCCATTTCTCACTGAAGCAAAACTGCAAGTACTTAGGCAAAGGTGCAAACTAAAAATTCTGGGCTTGCATCTCTTGATGCCAAATGATACTGGTACAGAAAGCAGCCAAGTGCCTCTCCAGCTACCTAAAATGCAGACAAAAAGGGAGTCTGAGGTCCTAGCAACAGGTTGGGGATAGTGCTTTGAGGGTGTGAGAGAAGCTTAACAGTTCTATTTCTGAAAGAGAGGGAAACAAGGGAGGAAGGAATTCTACCAGGTAGCCTGGACCTTATTGTTCTACCTCCAACATGTAGCACTATACCATCTAGATTTAAAAATAAACCCTCTGGCCTTTCTTTGATGAGCCACACATGTGGAAGGGAGAAAAAGTGTCAGCAGCTGTGGTGTTTAAGATCTGCCTTTCCTGGAGGCACTCGCCTCCAAATGGAAATATGGTGTCTGCTAGCATATCAGATGATTATCAAACACAAGCGATGGAAGAGTCTCTAGAGCCTCTGCAAATGTTTACTGATACTGTCAAGGGAAGCAGATACACAGCCAGGCGAGTAGCAGCTTTCACATATGGTTTTTCTGTTGGGATTCGCTGTTCACAGTTGCTACTCTAAGCCTCATGTTTCCTTACTCTAGGAGAAAGAAAGAATCCATCTGGATTTCCAGATCTTTGAGAACTCACAGGCCTTGATAACTGTTGGGCAATTGCTCTACGTGTAATTGGAGATTACAGCTACTCCTCTAAGCAGTTATCAGGATTGCAATTATTCCTTCCAGTTAATCACTACTACTTGTTGCTTAGTTCCAAATAGTAGATGATGCCCTTAAGGTCTGCACCCTGAAGTCATATCCAACCTCTTCATCACCCTTAAAACTGTTTCACATTATGTCAGCCTCCCAAGAAAAGCATTCCTGGGAAGGGTCTCTCTTTCTAATTTCTTTGCTTTTGTTTAGCACCACAGCTCTACTCATCTTCCGACTATGTCATCTTTTAGGGTACTCAATGCAGTTCCGATTCAGAGAATTGCATCTAATTCACCCAGACCTCAGAACTGGCCTATGTAAAACAAGAGTCACAAAGTAGCACCTCACTAAATAAAAAAGGTAGTTGACCTATTCAGTCAGTTCTTCTGCTTGTCTCCTGCCAGTTCCCACTGTCTCTGTCAAAGCTTGCCTGCAGTCTGGGGAGGTCTCCAGGCAGATCCCTTGTCCACCAGCAGCTGTCAGTCGTGAGCTGCTCTGCCAGAGTCCTGCACCAACCACGCAGCATCACCATGGCTTACCACGGACGCTCCAAGACATTAACAGGTTCCTAAAAATAATAATTAAAAAATAATTAACGACCAAAATTCTCTAGATATTAAGACTCCTGAAACTAAGAATGACATGTATCTACCCACCTTTATTTGGAGAAGAGTTGACTCTAAATAGGCTGCCTAATGTTACAGGATATATCCAAAAGGAGGGCACATCTAGATGCTTTCAGAGAGAGTCTGCAGGCAGCCAGAGCAGGGCAAGAATCCTGTGCCAATGCTTTCAAAGGGATATTGTCAAAATCAACAGTCACAGGGTAACTCCCCAGGCACCTTCTCTGCTCAAAGTCAGTTACAATAATAATTTCAATAACAATTTTTACCTGCTCACATAAAAACTTAGCTTCAAATTAAATTGGTTTTAACATGTTTTAGAAGGCACATCCTCCTAGAACAGATCAAAATTTTTAAGCTTGATCCATTCAGCCACCTGACACTGCAAGATGATTCACATTTGCTTCCTGAAGAGGTAAGAGTCACTTCACTGTGGTCTGCCAGCATTTGGTATCACACAGAAGCCAAGAGCTGACCTTGATAATGCCAGAAAAGGGAAATCAAATCAAGGAATCTTATGAACCTTTTGGCTGGATTGAAATCTAAATGCCTAGCAGGTGACTGGGTTTCCCAAAGGTAAGGTATATGAGAAATGTCCAAACAGCAGCTGTCCTTAATATTAGCTTATCAAATAAAGAGGTGCACTTGCAGACTAAGTGTCAATATATATTAGTATTCATCTTAGGACATTTTAAAAAATGGCTATTATCCACAAGAGAAAAACAGACTAATGAGTACTTTAAAAACAGTTAAGGATCATCAGGTAATATACAGTCTCATGAAGAGCATGCAGCAATGCTGGCTCATTTATTAACGACCAGCAGCTGAGTTGAAGTCACTCTCAGTGCACAGGGTTGTTTGTTGGCTGTCAGATTCAACACTAGCAAAGCTGAGCTGCCTGAATTTCGTTCCCATAAAAAAATATTCTTCAGTCTGCAAGCAAAAATAAAATAAAATAAAAAACACACAAAAACCCGAAAACCACAGCTTTGGAAGATACTTGATTCCTGCAGACCAGCCAGTTATAGAGAAATTTTCTTTTTAAACATTCCCTTCAGGCATAACTAGGGACTTAACAAGTGAAGTGGAAGAAATGGATGATGTCTACTTGAACAGTACAAGGAACAAAGGCTGGTAAAAGCAGTATTAGAATTTACACCTCAGGGAAGGAAGCGAAGTTTTAGAAATATCAGACACTGCCAGGAGAGATTCATATGCCATCTCCATCTTCAAAATATTGTATTTATCTCCACAAAAAGAGAACTGTTACTGTATAATGCTCTAGGTCTTCTTTGACAGGAATATCATCTGTCAAAGATCATGTATTTTCCATCAAGAGCTCCACAAAAGCCCTTTAATTAGCCATTCTGCGACACAAACCAGTGTGAGCATCACAGTGATCTCATACTCCCTAAACTGGCAATCTGCAAGGCAGGAAATCGAAGTCGGTGTTTCAATTTTGCACTGCACAGCTCTCCACAAGATTTGCCTTGTTTGAGGAGATAACAATGTCTGTAACAATGCTTTTCTACAGGCAACTTATTTCATTGAGACCTAGCCATATACTGGAGTCGACAGTCTACTTTCTTTTTGAGATTGTTTCTAAGCAGATAATGAATGCCTATCACAGAACCAATATTCTAGCTAAATCATCAGTCAAAGATCTATCAGAAAAGAAGCGCAGCAGAAGAATCTCTGTTTTTCTTCATCTTTTACCTGCTCTTTTAGAAATAGTAAGTGATCTCATTAAAAATGAGTGTTATTACAAAGAAAAAACCCACAATATTCACCCAGAAAAGTACTCCTGTTGCTCTGAGCAAACACAAGCCAGAAAGCTCTTTGGTACATCCCTATTAAGAACTTAACCTTTTAGATGACTGTACAAGGGGCAAAATAATACCTTTCATTAACTTAATTGCCACTGCATGAAGAGTAGGTCACCCCATAATGCCCTACTATTGTGCTACAGCAATAATATCATGCTACAGACACAGGACATTTTCCCAAAGCAATCTTGCTTAACCGGTGGGGGGAAAAGGACAAGAGAACTTATATAAAACATGAGAACTTAAACTTGGAGGAAACAAGAGAACTTAGACTGCAAGTGTATGGCAGACTTGAACGGGGCATCATTGCTTGAACAATTTTAACAGCCTTGCTTGTCTGAGAAAGAATGAAGAAAAACGATCCATTTCAGTTCAAGCAGCTCCTGAGACAAGCACTGTTAAATGCCAGTTTCTGTAACACAACCACCCCGGCCACTTCCCAGCCCTGCCACTGCTACACTGTTTTACAGCTGCTTGATGTGGTGTATCTTTGAGCACCATTCTGCAATTTACATGTTCTAATTTCTAGCAAGATTCTTTGCTGATCTGCCACCCATCCCTACAGATATTAAAAAAATGGCTATAGAAAACATTTCTATTAAAAAACCCAGCTCCTTAAAGATTAAATGTTTGAAAACAGAATAGTTTTATTTGGAGTAAAATACAACATACACATGAACAGGGACAGATGAACAAGTAGAATGCACTAACAACAGGCTGACAAATAAATGTAAGGAAAAGAATTACAAGTAGAAGACTTGAGAGAAGTAAGCTGTTTTCTGATGAGGTTACATCAAGAAAGGAGATGAAAATATCTAAAATAACTTATTTCTCAAAAAAGTTTCTCCATTAACTTTCCTATGATTTTTCAGATTATCATCTCAATGCTAAGAATACTGGCAAAATCAGAATCTGTCTTTTGATATTCAAATTTGTTTCAAATCAATTCAAGTTAAAAAGCATAACTTCAATTAGTGGCTTTATTTGAAAGCTTCAGCTATAAAGCATATTTACTTCACTAGCTCCTGAACATCCTCCAGAAAAATGCCACTGACCACATTTTGCTGAGGTATGACAAGTCCAGTGTGAAGTAACATTACAGAATCTGTGAGTTTCTTTTTTTTTCTTCCTGGTTTTTACTTTCATTGATGTAATTTTTACATATAATGCTACTTCATAAGTATACTAACTACACAAAAGTAACAACTGGAATTTCCACTTCAGAGACATGAAAATCCCTAATGCTCTTTTTTTTCCCTTTTTTTCTTTTCTTAACAAAAATAAACTCCTTTATTTGTAGGGAATGTTCTCAGTTCTTCAGTAAGATCCTGTTAGCTGTTTCTCAAGAAATGTTGATGGCTAAGAATTAAAAACATGACTGCAGAAACTAATACCTATAAACTGTAGGTTTACAAGGAAATAAGGTAGGAGTTTCAGCGTGTTATTAGTATTAATAAAGAGTTATTTTCATCATTAGAAGCAAAAAATATACCATTCAAACCAAAGATTTTTGAAATATAATACCAGTCTACATTTTCGTTCCATGGCAGCTTTCGATACATCAGATGTTTTTTGGTATTTCAGTCCTCTGATTCATATCTGAGGATTAAAAAAGATAAATAGAAAAATAATTAAAACAGAGCAGAAAATACCCTAGAGTCATTTTGCCTCTAAAGAAAAAATGAAACCCAAGTAATAAATTGCACTCAATAGTGACACATTTCTGTCAAGAATCACTGTATGACTTAGGGCACAGAGAAATGCATATACTTTTTAGACTATTTTCTCCTTTAAAAACTGGCCAGTTTACCAAATATTAGAATGAAGGAATGACCTACCCACAAATCCAAACAATTGCCAAAGCATCTGGAATATGTGCCATCTGTATCTCTCTGTGTAGTGCCCAAGGGCTTATCCACCACACAGATGAATATCCTGTAACCTCTCCATATTAAATTCTCTCATTACTTCCTACACGGTAGCTGCTCTTGCACAGATCAGTCCTATTCCCTTAACATCCACTGAAAGGACTGGCTTGTCAAAAATCAGGGAATAGACTACTAAAAATTCTTTTTAAGGGAAAATTTATAGACTGTTTACAAGACAAAATGGGAACAGAATGTGGATGCAGAACAAGGATCCTGTTTGGACAGACAGGACATCACTTACTTGGAAAGCCTTCTACGCAGATCCTTTATCTGTTCATTCTTCTTTGTGAGAATCTCCTTCATGTTGCGATAGGCAGCTGTTTGCTGAAATTTCTTCTCCAGTTCCTACATAATAACAACATCAACATATTATGTACATATTATGAAGACCAAACTAAAATATTTAAAAAAAAAAAAAACTATTGCTTTTCCTCCTCAAGGTTCAGAATAGTAGTTTCTGTAACTTATTCAAATTTAGATTAAGTCAGCTGGTAAATTCAAATGAGATTACAGGGACAGACAGAGAAACACAAACTTTATTTTCTAATGAAATTAGGCTAAAAGTCTTCTCAAGGCTGGGAATACATTTTTCATTTCAAACTTTCTATGCAGACAAATGGGCAATATTTAAGTATTCGTCTAGTTATAATCATGTAGTTAGTTGTGGGTTTGCTATTTTACTTATAACACGCTTTTCCACTGAAATAACAAAAATACACAGGCAACAGTGTGGCCTAGTAAACTCTGCATCCTGTAGTGTGTGCTTGTTAAATTACTAGTCAGTTAAAATGTGAGTAAGGATCACATCTTTACACTACAAAAAAAATGCTAACCTTTTCAGCTGCAGATAGCTGATCCTGAACCTTAAGCAAGTCATGTTTTGTTGTCACCAAGTCCTCTTCCAAGAATTTTTGGTTTGCAGTAGTGTCATTCAAAGTCTTCTCAAACTGGGATTTCAAAGCTGCCACTTTATGCTCCAGTTCAGTGATATCCTGGTTTGCATTAGTCTTCAATGGAAGAAATATTTAAAATATGTCAGATGCAACAGAAGAAATATTTTAAATTTCAAGTGCAAAATTCCACACAAAGTAGGTACATCTTAATTTTTAATAAATATGTCCATGTTATTCCTTTAAAGCCTAAATTAGTGTTTTAACTAAAAAAAAAGTTACTGCAGTGGCTGATTTATAACTGTAAAAAATTTTTAATAAATACATTTTAAAGATGTTTGGAATGTCTTCTGCCAAGTTGAGATTTCAAGTTTTTGTACTTTGCTTCTTTAGGAATTAGGTGCAGCCACAGGATAAAGCATATTATAAGAAGTCATTTACCATACAGAAATAGTAAATTAACATTTAAGATCTGAATATCTACACTACAATGTATTTTTGAAGCATTTCAAAAGCCCTTAGTGTAGTTGAGGTAGGAAAGGCTGGAAGTGTTAAGGCTCATACTCTCAGTCAGGTATGAATATTGTACTATTCTTAGATGTCTTACACAGTTGCTTATGAAGCAACTTTCCTGTTTTCTTGTGAGAAGAAATAACTCAAACTCTTCTGGACTTCAGTTTCGGGTAACAAAACATTATAATCATGTAACTGTTCTATGGATTTTTATTAAAAAAGAAAAAAAACAAACGCAAAACCCTCTCAGGTTTGAAAGCTCAATTTCAAACTCAGAAGTATAATGACTCAGGATGAGGCTGAACCAGCAGCACCTTAAAAAGAACAAAAAACTAAAACTAAGGAAGCTCTGTTCCTTCTTCTATATGGAAGGTAAGATTTGAGAACAGGAACACACTTGATAATAGTACCTGTACTATTATCAAGAAAAGCTTATTTTGAATTTTGAGACAGAATCCAAGTCTGCAATGCTGAAAAGCACTACATTTTGTGTGTTTCAGATCAGAATAGACAGTTACCATTTTTCTAAACGAGGACATAAGTCAATTATGCAAAAATTCTAAATCCTCAAGTTAAATTGTTCCAGTGGAGCAGTTACTCCCAAACTGTGACTCAAACTTCATGTGTGGGGCCATCTATTAACTATTAGTAAAAAAACCAAAATCAATGTGCTGAGTTGGTCCTTAAGAACTGTTGTGGTTTGGCAGCCATTTATTTGTCCAAAGAGTTTAAAAACTTCTGCTTATTGAGTAACTGGGTTTATATGATTTTAATGACA